ATTTATTTATTTATTTATTTATTTATTTATTTATTTATTTATTTATTTATTGAGACAGGGTTTCTCTGTGTGGCCCTGGCCATCCTGGAACTCACTCTGCAGTCCATAGTAGCCTTGAACTCAGAGAACTGCCTGTCTCTGTTGGGATTAAAGGAACCACTGCCCGGTTCCTTGTTTCTTTTTTGTTTTTGTTTTTGAGACAGGGTTTTCTCTGTATAGCCCTGGCTGTCCTGGAACTCACTCTGTAGATCAGGCTGGCCTCCAACTCAGAAATCCGCTTGCTTCTGCCTCCCAAGTGCCCGGTGGGTTCCTTGTTTCTTAAGACAGGTTTTCATGAAGCCCAGTGTGACTGCAAGCTCACCATGTCCTCCTGCCTCCATCTCCCAGGTGCTTGGATTATGGGCGTATACCCATACCCCACAGCTTTTACTATAACCGGGAATTTCAGATTCATCCTTTTACAGACATGGGTCCTCCTGCCTCTGCCTCCAGAGTGCTGGGATTAATAGCATGCACCACCGTGGTCAGACTGTAGGAAGTGCCATCTCTCCAGTACTGTGTGTGTGTGTGTGTGTGTGTGCTGTATATGTAGGTGACTGCAGGTGACTTCACAGGCCAGAAGACAGCACTGGATCCCCTGGAGTTGGAGGTGGTTGTGAGTTGTGAGTCACCTGAAGTGTATCCTCTGTGAGAGCAGTGCCTACTCTTAATTGTGATCCATTTCTCCAGCCTCCGAAATTTTATTTTATTGAAGTCCTAGAGATGAACCCAGGGCCACTCATCATTAAGATAAGTAGTCTAGGTAAGTACTCTACCACTAACCCATACCTTTAGCTTCGATTTTAATCTTAAAAATTCTTTTATTTAAAAGAATTTAGGACTTGGGAGGCAGAGGCAGGCGGATCTCTGATTTCGAGAGTTCGAGGCTAGCTTGGTCTACAGAGTGAGTTCCAGGACAGCTCGGGCTACACAGAGAAACCATGTCTCGAAAAAAACAAAACCAAAAAAAAAAAAAAGAAAGAAAGAAAAAAAAGAAAAGAAAGAAAGTCTTTAGGGCAGTGTTAGTTGGTGGATCTGAGGTAGCCACGTGGCCCAAGGTCTGGAAGGCACACTGTAGCTAACCTAGTTGTTTTTGGTTCACAATCCTCGGGCCTCAGCCCCCAATGCTAAGCACTGGTGTGAGCCATCCTGCTGGGCTTAGGTTTGGCTGATGGCAGATTTCTGTGTGTTGTTTTTTTAGAGAAGACCTGGCAATGTAGCCTGGCTGCCTGGGAATTCACTCACTATGGGGTCTAGGCTGCCCTTGAACTTGCCATTCTCATTAGCCTTTCTTGGCTTTTTTTTTTTAAAGACACATCAAAGGAGGGTATGGGATCCCATTACAGATGGTTGTGAGCCACTGGGAACTGAACTCAGGACCTCTGGAAGAGCAGTCAGTGCTCCTAACCACTGAGTCATCTCTCCAGCCCCCTGGCTCAACTTTTTATACGGCTAAATCTATAGGTTTTTAAACTTTCCCTGTGATAGGGGGCTTACTAGTTTGTCTAGTCAGTTCCAGAGGCCCTGCCTGTCTCTCCTTTTCTGAAAGAACAGGCACTCACGGCTGCACCTGGCTTCTTATGTGGCTGAGATGATCCAAAGTCAGGTCCTCAAGCGTGTGCAGCTAACACCTCACTGGTCAGACCACAGTCTCCCACTTCTACCCAACATCCTCGCTTTTTTATAGTTGTTATTGCTTGAGGACTGTACAATCCAGATCCAACTGGATAACATATAGTTTATTCTAAAGTTATAATGCTTTATTTAGTTTGTTTGGCTTTTTGTTTTTGTTTTGAGATAAAGTCTCTCTGTGTAGCCTTGGCTGTCCAGGAATTGATATGTAGACCAGGATGGTCTTGAACTCATAGAGTCCTGCCTGCCTGTCTCCCAAACACTGGGATTAAAGACATTCACTGGTGTGCCTACTGGTTTGGTTTTCTTTTAATAGCTAACTAACTGTCCCATCTGAAATCTACCCCATAAGGATAAAACTGATAAAGGGGGCTGCAGAGACGGCTGAGCACGTCAGGGTGTTTAGCGCCAACTCTGATGACTTGAGTTTGATCTCTGGGACCCGCAGAGTAAAAGGAGACCCAATTCCAAAGTTCTCTCCTACCAGACATTCATCCCACCACCACCCACACACATGTTCTAAATAAGTATAAAAAAATATGTAATTTAAAATGCTAACATGACTTCCTCCCTTATACATAACTAACCAATTTTCCCTAAACTGTTAACTGAATAATAAACCTCTCCCACGTCTGGGTTGATCAAGGCAGATATACGTACTTGTATCTTTGGAGGGCAGAGTGCTGTTTTATAGTGCTAGTTACCGGTCCCAAGGCCTTGCATGTGCTAGGCTCATGCTCCATCCTGGAGCCACACCCATTCTCCCATTACCGACTGCTGTACAGCTGCAGGCCTTCCAGGTTTACTCTGATAGCCTCTTACCCTATGATTCTACGTCAACCATCTCATCTGCTTGGCTCTCAAGCTCTGAGGCCACAAAAAAAAAAAGGAGGAAGAAAGGCAGTAACTTTCTTCAAGAAGTCAAGTACAAAGAGTAAACTTGATTCAAATCCACAATAGTCGTGCCTCTTTCTGCTTGGGGTAGTTCTGAGTTGGATCCCACTGGAGTGAACCTCCAACCGAGGGCTCCAGGAATGTAAACATCAATGGAACTCCAAGTTCCAGAGGAGGAAAAGGAGCTTTCAATGATTAGAATTCAACTTTCAGTTGCAATATTGGTAACTTGTTTAACATTTATTTACTTCTGGGCTGGGTGGTCGTGATGTACACCTTTAATCCCAGCACTCAGGTACACACAGGTAGATCTCTGAGTTCAAGGCCAGATTGGACTAGAGTGAATTCCAAGTACAGCCAGGGCCATATAGTGAAACCCTGTCTCAAAAAATTATTTATTTTTATTTTATGTGTATGAATGTTAGTCTGCATGTATGTCATGTACCATGTGTATGCCTTTGGAGGTCAGAAAAGGTCAGGTCCCCTAAAACTGGAGTTAAAGACAGTTGTGAGCTATCATGCGGGTTCTGGGAATTGAACCTGGGTCTTCTACAAGAGCAGCCAGTGCTCTTAACTGCTGAGCCATCTCTCCAGCTCCAGTATTACTATGCTTTACTATAACACGATCCCAGATGGTCTAAAAACCAAAAACTCCGTCAGCATAGTCAGGTTTAATTTCTTGATGTAATGCCACCAAAAAAGCAAGACAAAACTGTGTGTGCTGGCTCACACTTCTAACCCTTGTGCTTGGAGGCACAGTCAGGAAGATCGCTATGAGTCTCAGATCTGGTCTGCTCTGGTCTACACAGAAAGTTCCAAGCCATTTAGGGCCACACAGTCAAACTCTGTCCCCAGAATAAAACCTACAGAACACAGAGAAAGAGGTGCTTCAGAAAGGCCATGCTTCTGAGCCCAGCTTACTGAATGCTCCTCAGAGTCCGAAGTCTGGGAAGAGATGATGGGGTTAAAGCTGCTTGGAGACAGAGGGCCCAGTTTTTTCCTCATGGCTCGGATCTGAAGCAGTGCCCGGAAGGCTGTGAAGAAGAAAGCAGGCCATCAGGACATCCTGTTTCAGGATTAAGGATAAACAGGTGCCCAGACAGAAGCCATGTGCCCTCCAGCATTCATCCATTTGCTATGCCCAGCGGGGGACAATGTTCTGATGTTCTGTGTCCACCTTTCCAGCCCTCCTCCTCATGCCCCCCCAGGACTTACGCAGCCGGCAGATGGGGCAGTTGTTGGCCTGGTAGCGCAGGGTGTCTGCGCAGGTGTTACAGAGGCAGAGGTGCCGGCACGGCAGGATCAAAGTGTCTCGGACATCGGAGAGACACACCACACACTCAGCGCTGTTGTCGCTGACCTCATCCTCTGTCACCTGGCCAGGAGGAGACGCAGCTGTCACTCAAGGCCATCCACCTCTCAACAGTTACAATGGGAACAGAATCTACGCTGACGCTGGACTTTAGTTTATACACGGTTGTTTGTTTAAATTAGTTTTTATTTTATTTTATGTGTATGGGTGTTTTGCCCTTTGTATGTCTGGTGCTTGCAGAGACCAGAAGAGGGTGGCAGATCTCCTGGAGCTGGAGTTACAGACAGTTGTGAGCTGCCATGAGGATTCTGGGAACCGAACCTGGGTCCTCTGAGAGAAGAGGCAGGGCTCTTAGCTGCTGAGCCATCGCTCCACCCCTGTGCAGTGCTTTTGCTCCTTGGTCTGTCTGCCTTTAGGAACTGCCTGCCTGAGGCTGAGCGACTGGACTAACCCCTGAGCTCACCCCTCTGAAGGTCTGCACAGAAGGGACCTAAGAGAGCACCGAGGGAAAGGGAAGGGAACACAAGACTCTCCCAGGAGTCAGAGCTCGACTGAGCTGCAAAGCAGAAGGGCTGTTCCAAACTGAGAGTCTTCTTAGAGGACTGGGCTGGCTCCCGGGACCCTCAGCCCTGGCCAGAGCACAGGTTCTCACTTAGCCTCTGGGGAAGAGCAAATCCTAAATTTTGAACAGAACTCACCTTGGAATCTTGAGTGTTGTACTTGTTTTCAATCCCGTAGATCTCCTGAAGAAGGTAGCTGACCCCATCCACCTGAATAGTGAAGAGGGAAGTCCTGAATAGTGAAGAGGGAAGTCCAAGGATAGGCTCCCCACTGAGAGACGGGACAGAGGCCTTGCCATTTCCCAAGGTAACACAGGACCATTGCTTCACAAAGAAAAAACTCCAGGGCCCAGAAAGGATGCTATTTTTTTTTTTTTAAAACTTATGTTGCATTTGGGAGGGAAAGGCAATCAAATGTTTCTTTTACCCACTATCACATCCAACAGGCAATTTCACACACTGGCCGTCTATGTGTTTTGTAGCTCACTCTTCCTGACAGTTGTAAACAGTACTGACTCAAGAGGACGGAGGGATGTATGGCAAAGTGTAAGCATTCACTGTAGGAGAGAACTTAGTTTAAAAACTATAAAAATACCACAGAGATAGGCTGAGGTGTGGCTCAGCTGGGAGAGTCTTTGCCTAGAACCCATGAAGCCTCGCACCTCAGGACCTTGGTAGATCGTGCCTAGAATCCCAGCACTGGAGAGACGGAGGCCAGAGAGTCAGTTCAGTGTCATGCTCTGCTCACACAGAGACCAGCCTGGGCTACAGAAGACTGAAGGAAGGAAGAGAATGGCAAGAACAGAGAGGAAGACAGAAAAGGAAGTGTAAGGCGGGCGTGGTGGCTGATGCCTGCAGTCCCAGCACTTGGTACGCTATGACAAGAGGACTCTCATGAGTTTGGGGTCAGCCTGGACTACATGGCAAGTACCAGGCCAGCTGGGGCTACATAACCAGGCTCTACCTCAAGAAGAAAAGACAAAGACGGAGAGACATGCAGGACCCGGGAAGGCACGCCACTGGTGCGCACCCACCTCATGGTTTTTCTATTTTCCAGTAAGACTTATTTATTTTTACTTTATGTGTTGATGTGTAACCTGAGTTTACGTGTGTGCACCATGGTGCAGGTGCTCACGGAGGCTCAAAGGTGCCAGATTCCCAGGAACAGCAGTCCCAGCACTCAGGAGTTACCTGCTGTGGGTGCTGGGAGCAGCAAGAGCTCTTAACCACTGAGCCGTTATCCCCAGCCCCAGCCTTCCCAGCTCTTTTTAAATTATTATCATCATCATTATTATTATTATCATTATTATTATTATTATTATTATTATTATTACTTGTGTGTGTGTGTAAATATGAGTAGAGTCATGTCATGGTGACTGCATGTGGAGGCTTAATGGACAACTTTCAGGAACTGATTCTCTTCTTTCTACCATAGGTTCAGGAATCAAACTCTGGTCACTAGACTTGTGTGGCAAGAGCCTTTACCTGCTGAGCCATACTGCTGCCACATACGGTCCCCATTTCTAATGTACAGCAAAAACTACCCCTCTGGTGCTGTTCGTTTTCTGTTTTTTGTTTGTTTTCTTGAGATAATGTCTTGTTCTGTTGTCCCAGTGGGCCCTAACCTCCAGAGACATGAGTTTCCTGTCCCTTCCCAGGGCGTCTTGCATGCTAGGTACGTGTTCTATCACTAAGCTCTCTAGCTCTAGCTCTGAGGAAGCGTCTCTGTGACAGTCTCTGTGTAGCGCTGGGCTCGAAACTTAAGATGCCTAGGCTCAGTCTCCCAATGCAGCGTCACATCCAGTGAAGAACTGCGTTCTTGTTACTTAATTTTCCTGTGGTGTTGGCGGTGGGACCAGGAGCTCGCACACGGCAGGTGAACTGTCTATCACTGGACTATGATCTCATTTCATTTTTCTTAAGATGGGGTCTCTTAACGTTTTGCCCAAGCTGGCCTCAGTTTCCTGAGGAACTGGGCTCATAGGCATTAGCAACCACATTCAGCTTGGTTTTGAGATGGTGTCTCCTTTTTTTTTTTTCTTTCTTTTAAAAAAACTATTTTCTCCTCTTAAAAAATTAAATCTTCCCCTCCCTCTTTTTCTTTAATTTTTGTTTTTGGTTTTTTTTTTGAAACAGGTTTCTTTGTGTAGTCCTAGCTGTCCTGGAACTTGTAGACCAGCGTGGCCTGAATCTCACACAGATCCATCTGCCTTTGCCTCACAAGTGCTGGGATTAAAGGCATGTGCCAGCATATCTGGCTTGGTCACCACTTCTCTCAAACTATCCTCTAGTTATTTGTTTGTTTATTTGTTTGTTTATTTAAGACGGGGTCTTACTTTGTACCTCCGATTTACTGTAGCTAAGGCTGGTCTAAAACCCCAGGTAATCCTGCCTTGGCCTCCCTAGTGCTGATATACAGGCATGAGCCACCACACCTCGAATCTCCTACCCTCCCTGCCAGTGCCATGGCTTCACTTGGCCCTCAGCCCTCAGTGACATCTCCTCCTACTGCTGCAGAAGTGTAAAATGCTGGCACACGGTGGAAGCTAGGCCTTCCAACTGACATGTGGGAATCCTGATGCTTGCTCTTGTGGGGGGCAGATGGCCAATAAGCGGAATCTTAGAAAAGGAATTCGAGGATAAATTATGCTTAGTGCTCGGCTTGGCCCTGAAATAGGCCCAGTACTTTATCCTTGTGTTTGAAATGTTTCTCATCATGGCATTTTAAGTCAAAAGAGTTCTCCTTCACCCTAATGTCAGGAGACAAACCTTATTCTTTCCCTTTTCAAGATAACTGTGGCTTGGGAGGCACCAACAATTCCAAAACAATCAAGGCACTAAAAGTCAAGTGTTCCTTTCGGCCCACCCAAGTAGTTTTTAACAGACAAACATGATCCCCTTCCAAAAATCTTTGATAAAAAGAAAGAAAGAAAGAAAGAAAGAAAGGAAGAAAGAAAGAAAGAAAGAAAGAAAGAAAGAAAGAAAGAAAGAAAGAAAGAAAGAACAGGAGAAGGAAACAAGAGTGCATATTTTTAAAGTTAACAAAAAAAAAATCACAAGAAAAGAGACAGAAGGCAGCACTAAGAGTCAGCGGCCCTCAAAGACTGACTTACCACTTGCTTCTGCTTGAGGGGTTTGACACAGAAGGTCCCGTCTGTGTGCTGGAATACAAGCCCGACGTTAGGAACGGGAGGGGCACTCTGTATTCTGCTGCAACTTCTCTCCTACATGTGCTTGGGCGCTCACACAGAGGAGCTACAGACTCAGAACACAGCAACAGTGGGATAGGGATTCGCTAAACCCACTCATCTGGTGAAGAGTACGCTGAGGCATCGGGGGCACCGTGGGTGGCAGAGTTAAAACTTCCCGAGTGCAGCCCTAGTGTGACAAGCTTTCAGCAGAGGGCCCACATGAGAAAGAAATGCAAAACATAGCATGTCCCCTACCTTCTCAAAAGTGCCCAGAAGCACATGGCAGTGGCCAAAATACTCTGAAAGAAACAGACACATGGTTGAAGAAGGCCAACAACACAGCCCTAGCCCTCTCCCACACGCCTGCTTTCACTAGAACCCATGGCTTGGTAGACCAGTGGAGCTGGGCTGTCGCCAGCAAGGGCAATGTTATAAATACCATTATAAACTCTGTCCCTCAGAGCAGGATGGGAAAGGAAAGGAAAGGACGGAGACCTGTCTGATGAGACTCACAGAGCTGTGTGGCTCTGGGCCAGGGCTGGGATGTTATGGTAAGAGGGGAGTGGGCACATCAAAGAAATCAGAAATCTCCCTACCGTCTCCTTCATCCACCACAGCATGCACCACCAAAGGGTAGACTTCTCGGTCCAGATCAAAGCCAAGCTGCAGGGAAGAAAAGGAAATACAGATGATGCCCTGTGTGTGTGTGTGTGTGTGTGTGTGTGTGTGTGTGTGTGTACGATCTCACACTCATCGGTCCCTCAGAAGGCAGGGGCTGCTCAGAAGCATTAACCTCAGTTCTGCACCCACCCATCAAACTTGCAACTGCCCAGGTCTGTTTAATTGAAGGTTGTTTGTTTCCTTTAAAAACAAAACAAAAACATTGCATTAAAGGTCCCTAGCCTGCAGCTCTGAAGTTCCCTTTCCCATGGCTTTCTCACAGTGTCCTCAGCTGGCAGGCTAGTTTTGGAATAGAAAAACGAACAAGGATAGGTATATTTTTAATTTGAACTAAGCAGTCTGGTGACAGGCATGAAGGGACTAAGAGTCGAGCATGGCATCCCAGCGTCTGGACAGTGTCTGCTGCTGGCACAGGTCCTCGGGGTGGGGCGTCCTGGGCTCGGCAGCTCACCTCCTCTTCGGCCCACTCCGAGGGGTCCACGGTATGGGAGGGCAGGCAGAACTGCTGGCACACCCCTCGCTTGTAGTGCACGGTCTCTGACTGCAGGCTGTTGTCTTTTGGAATGTAGCTGTGGATGAAGTGGGAAGCAGAGCCAAAGTTAGAGCTCAGCCCAGACAGCCGACACTTCCCATCGTCTCGGGCCTGCTCTCAGCTTCCAGCAGCACTCGCTCAGGGAAGAAAAACGTTTGTTTTTTTTTTTTTTTCCTCTAGTCTGGTACTATTCCTGGGCGTCCATATTTAATCCACACATCCACAGGAAGGGAGCTAAAAAGGAAGAGTAAAGATTGGAAAAGAAAATCTAAGTTTGAGGCCCAGATCCTGCCGGGTTGTAGAAAAAGAATGTGTTCCTGGGAGCGCACAGAGCACAGAAGACTGGGAGGCGGCTAGCTCACCTGCTGTGCCCTCTTATGCCGTCCTACCTGGCAATTCCATTCTGGAATTCCTCAGTGGCCTGGTAGTAGATGGTTATGGCTACCCGGGCATCTGTGTCGAAGATGAACTCAACGTTGTAGCAGACTTTAGCTTTGCCTGCCTCTTCTCCGTGGCTCTTCACCTCCTCAGCACATCTGGGAAATCACAAGAGACAACCTTTGGGGGCAGCGGATTGGGATTGTGTTGTTTTGTTTTCTGTATAGCCCCGGCTATTCTGGAACTCACTCTGTAGACCAGGCTTCTCTTGAACTCAGAGATCTCTGCTACCGGCTTCCTGAGTGCTGGGATTAAAGGCCTGGGTCACCATCACCAGGCATAGATCAAAAATTTTAAGATTTACTCTTTTGGGCGAGAAACTTGGCTCAGAGCACTGGCTGCTCTTGCAGAGGGCCTGGATTCAGTTCCCAGCACCCACATGGTAGTTGATAACTGTCTGTAGCTCCAGTTCCATGGGATTTGGCACCTTCTCCCAGACATACAAGCAGACAAAACACCAAAATAAACAACAAACAAAAAACCCACTCTTAGTTTTCTTTACCCCCTTCCCCCCAGATAACGAACCTTACATACCTCTCTGTACGGTCACTAACATGTTTGATTCTTCTCTGTAACTACACAGGGTCGTCCCTGGGCACTCAGATTATGTACTGACGCTCACAGGCTGAGTACACACGCCAGAACTTGGTTATTTTTCACATTAATCAGGATTATTAGTCACTTGGCTGAGTCTGCACTGGTTAGAAACCATCCGGGCTTCCTTCTTCCCTTCCTCCTCTACACTGCAACTGCTTATGGACATACAGATGGGCATCTAACCTCTTTCCTAGACAGCAAGCACAGTTATTGGTCTTGATTTGTCTAAGCACCACCTACAGACTTGCTAGTATAGAACGGTTTGTCTCCTTCCTCCCTGCCCCACAAAGGATTCTGCAGTCCCCACAGTGTAGTGAAATCACAACCCTATTAGCACAGCAGCTAGAGTCTTCCTTGCGGTGACTTCATAAACATGAGACACAGCTCAGCACAGAGCAAGCTGGGCTTGGCTTTCTCTCCCTGCCTCAAGCAGGACTCTCTATGGCCTTGTTAATCTTTTGGTTTTTCATACACCCATCCTGAATTTCTATCCAAACTCTGATAGCTATCTGTACTTCTAGAAACATCCAGCTGCACAGCTGGTTCACGTTGGTGTCCTCCCTCTGTGTCTCTGTCTCCAGTGTCTTGTGCTGAAGCCCAGGCTGGCCTCAAAGTTTGTTGGGGTGTCTGCAAACGTTCCCTTTTCCTCTAATAATAGTTATTTTTTCTTTGCTTTTAGATTATCAGAATAGAGATGATATTTTAAATGCCAGGGCAGGCAAAAGTTCTTGCTGTATAGAGCAGCGCCCATGTTCATGTTCCAAATATCCCCTCAAGACGAGGCCTCGTCTTAGGATCCATGTTTCTGCAGCACCTGGCAGCTGGCATCTTTTAGAGAGGGCAGGAGGTGGTGGGCCTGGCAGGAGATGTTCTTTGACTCCCATGGAGTATCTGTTGTCCCACGAGCAGAAGGGCACCTGGGTCCTGGCACATGGCCTTGGGAACTTACTTGACAAGTCTCAGTGTGTCCTTCCGGATGTTGATCAGGCTTCTCAGAGTCTTCACAGGTTCTTGGGGAGGTGGGGCAGCATATGGGAACTGTCAGAGACAAAGCAGGAGCAGCAGTGTGTTTATAAAGACATGGCTGTCTCCAACCGGAACATGGCTCTTGGGTGAATGAAAACAATGAGGCAGATGGAGGAGTCACACTCCTGACTGAGGAGACAGCCTCTAACACAGTACATTAGCCTGCCTCGTGGGAAAACCAGGATCCAATATAGTATCAAAAAAAGCATGATTTATCTACCTTCCCCCCTTCATATGAAGCTTATATGTGTTAGTGTTCAATACTTGGAAAACTAATTTTTAAAAACCCAACAAACAAACAAAAAAAACAAAAACTCTTCAATTGAAATTCTAAATACTAAAGGACTCACTGTGGCCAAGTTAACAGCAAAAAGTCTCTCCATTTTACCTTAGATGACAAGGAGGACCTGTAAGCCCTATCCTTCAGGGAAGACACCCCCTATCCTAAGAATTTAGAAATTGAGAATAATAGAGAACCCCATCAAGTGTGCAGGGCAGAGGTTTGCAAATACCAAAGAACAAACCCCCTTAGTTTATCACATAGAGCAGTTTGTTAACCCTGAGCCTCGAGGCACCTGGGGGTCAGCCTCATTTACACACACAGAGCCCAGGCTTCATCGTACACACACACACACACACACACACACACACACACACACACACAGTGCTGACATCATCATTCACACACTTTCTTTTCCCATGAGGATCTTTAGATTTAGAGTTCTGAGATAGTGACAAAGGGAAACAGAAAACTTTGATGGGGAACACCCAACGTGTTCTCAGTATTCATGTTTTTTGGGCAGTAATAATTCAAGGATCTACCAACATGCAGTGGTGTAGACATGTCACTGCTGAGCACCACAGAGTGTGTGTACACCCTAAGATGGCTGTGAATGAACCAGGCAGCGTTACCTTATAGGACCACTATCATATATGCCGACCTTCCCTGACAGAACTGTCACTAGGGTGTGACTATGGCTCATGGAGCCGACTGGTCTCAGTGGCTTTGCAGTATCCTATGGGTCTTCTATCCCAAGGACTGGACCTCCACAGTGCTGCCTCAAAAACAGGACACCATGTTATGTTCTAATTGTGCTTTCAAAGACACTGACTGAATGGGGTTATTTTTTTGGGGAAACAATTTATTTTTTTACCTATTTTTTTTTCTTTAAGATTTATTTGTTTTATCTATAAGTACACTGTAGTTCTCTTCAGACATACCAGAAGAGGGCATCAGATCATGCCTTTAATCCCAGCACTCAGGGAACAGAGGCAGGTGGATTCTGAGTTTAAGGCTAGCCTGGTCTACAGAGCTAGTTCCAGGATAGCCAGGGCTACACAGAGAAACCTTGTCTCAAAGAAAGAGAGAGAGAAAGAGAGAGAGAGAGAGAGAGAGAGAGAGAGAGAGAGAGATCAAGCTAGATGTGGTAGCACACACCTTTAATCCCAGCACTTGGGGGACAGAGATGGGCAGATCTCTGAGTTATGAAGCCAGCCTAGTCTACAGAGTGAGTTTCAGACCAGCCAGAGCAACATAGCAAGACCCTGTCTCAAAAAAAAAAAAAAAAGAAAGAAAGAAAGAAAGAAAGAAAGAAAGAAAGAGGAAAAAAACCATTCTTAACTGTTTAAAAGTGGACCTGTGGAACTACTAAACTAAAGAGTACCATAGTAAAACTTTATTCAGTTGGAGGGGCTGGAGAGATGGGTCAGTGGTCAGGAGCACTGTCTGCTCTTCCACAGGTCCTGAGTTCAATTCCCAGAAACCACATGGTGGCTCACAAGCATCTGTACTGCTATGTGATGACTCTTCTAGCATGCTGGTATACATTCAGACAGAGCATACATATTTGTAAGATAAATAAATCTTGCCTGTAATACAAGGAAGGCAGAAGGATAAGAAGTTGAAGCTTATCTTAAAGTAAATGGTAAGCTCCAGGCCAGGCTGGTCTGTAAGAACTTCAGCTCAAAAAGAAAAAGAGGGCCAGGCATGGTGGTGCATACCATTAGTCTCAACACATGAGAGGCGGAGGCAGGAGGATCTCCGTGAGTTCGAGGCCAGCCTGCTCTATATCCTGAACCCAGGATAGCCAGGACTACAAAGGACTACAAGAAAGACTCCATCAGAAAGCAGAAAGGGGGAGGGATGCTTTTCTTCAGTGATGTGGCTGCTGGTTAGCTGCCCACGCTGCAGGGCATACCGTCCACAATGTTGATACAACTGTAAGCTCAGTGACCCTAGGATGGGGGAGGAGGACTGGAGGCAGAAGGAAGGAAAGAAGGAAGGAGAAAGGGGTGAATGTGACCCAAATGCCCTGTAGACACTTAGGGACCTGTGGATAAATGTTTACCTCCTGCCCCAGAGGAAAAAAAAAAAAAAACAACACTTTGAAGGCATTGCATACAAACATTTTACTTTGTGGCTGTTTCGTTTTGTTTAAAACAGTGTCTTATTCTTTTGCCTTTGTAGCCCAGGCTGGCCTTGAACACCCCTTTCTCTTGCCTCAGCCTCATGTCTAGCTCAGAGTCCAGATATGCCTGGCCTGCAACTTTTTACTTATTTTATTTTATTTTATTTTTGTTTTGTTTTGTTTTTTTGAGACAGGGTTTCTCTGTATAGCCCTGGCTGTGCTAGGGACTCACTCTGTAGACCAGGCTGGCCTCAAACTTAGAGATCCGCCTGCTTCTGCACCACCACACCCAGCACTTGTCTTAATTCTTGTTTCCGTTTGTTTTTATTCCACATAGCTCATGTGTGTAGGTCAGAAGACAACTTGCAAGGGTCAGCTCTTTCCTTCCACCATGGAGGTCCCAGGAATCTGAATCTATCGGGCTTGGAAGCATGAACCTCTCCCTGCTGAGTAATCTCTCTGGCCTCTACTTTTTGTTGTTTTTTGAGACAATGTCTTCTGTAGCCCAGGACAATCTCTTTTTTTTTCTTTTTTTCTTTTTTTTTTTTTTTTTTTGGTTTTTCGAGACAGGGTCTCTCTGTGTGTAGTCCTGGCTGTCCTGGAACTCACTCTGTAGACCAGGCTGGCCTCGAACTCAGAAATCCACCTGCCTCTGCCTCCCAAGTGCTGGGATTAAAGGCGTGCGCCACCACTGCCCGGCCCAGGACAATCTCTAAATTCCTGATCCTCCTGCCTCTCGTCTCAAATGCTGGGACAATAAACACGAGCCCCCAGCAGCAGCAAAAGTAGTTTTGTTGATATACCAGCAGATGAGTGTGTGCGTATGTATGTGTGTGTGTGTCTGTGTATATGTATATGTATGTCTATATGTGTGTAATAGACACTTTTTAATGACAGCATTATACGCTTAAGCAGAAAAAAATTTTTTTAAAAAAGGTACAAGCTCAGTCATAATTTTATTACACAATACCAGAATGAGTAGAAATGTTTTTTGCAGAGTATACTCGGCCTGTCCTCACTGGGCTGCTCCACTGTGTGAATGACTAAATGGTCTCTCTCTCTCATTTTAAAGACATGGCAAACATCTCCAAAGTCCACAGTTTTGCTGCCATGTGGAGATAACCGCTTGCTTTATTAAGCAGTTGGCTTTCCTTTTTGCTGATGTGTGTTGTAGATGCCCGTGTCCCTGCGTTCTGCGTGCTGCTTGTTTGATTGTTTCTTTGAGAAAAATTCCAAGGAGTGGAATTACTGGATCAAAGAGTAAGCACATTTTTAAGACTTTAATGCTCTGTGAGCAGTACGACAGGAGACTTTAATTCGGGAACGGGAATTCCAGTCCTACTCTCATCTGACGTCCGTTTCTTCACCCCCTACTTCCTAGGCTGCCATACTAAAGGAATTTAAAACCATTTTAAAATAAGCTTAAGCAAAAAGTAATTAGGCAGGAAAATCTGACACACACGCTAAATCTGCTCTAAAGCCAAAGTAAATGACTTTGGGATTAGCATTCTCTCGGGTAGCAAAGCAAGCCCTTAGTTCGTGTGGGTGCTGACCCTTCTCTCCTCTTGAGAGACCCAGAGCCCTGATATGAAGAGCCATAAGGACCTTTATTTATTTATTTTGGGGTTTTTTGAGACAGGGGGTGTCTCTATGTAGCCCAGGCTGGCCTTGAACTCACACAGATCCCCCTGTCTCTGCCTCCCAGGATTAAAGGCATTAGCTACCACCACCTGGTTTGTAGTGTTTTAAAAAAAGACTGTTTTTTCAAGAGAATTTCTCTGAGTAGCCTTGGCAGTCTGTGAAGTTGCTCTGTAGACCAGGTTGACTTCAAACTCAAGAGATCTATCTGCCTGCCTCTGTGCTGGAATTAAAGGTGTGTGCCACCACCACCAGCTTTAGGTAGTAAAATCTTAATGGGGTTCAGGAAGGGTCCCTAAGTACAGGCAGGATAAGGAAACGAGGCTCAGGTACCCTAAGTCTCACTGTTTAAACAGAAAATCTTAATAAAAGCAAATCCTCGTGGTGGGATCAAATGTGGACAAACACATAACAAAAAGGGAACACATGAAGGACCTGTCTGAGTCCCTACCATGGGCCACGCATCATTTGCATGCATTCTCCTCCCCGTGTGTGTGTGTGTGTGTTCATATGTTCATGTGGGGGAGTGCATGTATGTGTGTTGGCATTTGCATATATGTGTATACATGCAGTAGAGACCGAGGGACACCTTCAGTTCTTGATCCAGGAGCCATCCACATTTGCTTGACTAGTCTCAACTTGACTAGTGAGGCTGGCTGGTGAGCCTTGGGTATCCCCCTGTTGTCACCTCCCACCACTGGGATCACAGGTATGGGCCACTAGGCCCAGGTTTTTCTGTGGATTCTTGGGACTGAACTCAGGCCCTCGGACCCTCACCACTCGAGCCGTCTCCCCATCCCCGCTTTGCTTTAATTTTTAAATTATGGTCAACTATAAACGATGTGACATTTACATGTGGACTACATGTACTACACTCCTCACGCAGTTCCGTGGCATTCATTATGGCGTGTATGATGTTCAGCCTCAGCCACCATCCAGCCCTGGCTCAGCACACTCTTACTGCCC